AAGTTTCCAAAGATTTTCATAATCATGCTTTTTGGTCTCAATTTTTCTGGCTCTTGCTTTCTGATTGTTAGCTAAGCAATGGCTTTTAAGCCAAGTCTTGACATATACCTCTGGTCTGAACTTGTTCAGTGGAGGGCCAACACACTTGATGAAAAGCAAGGCTGACATGCTTTTTACCTCTAGGGAGCTTCTAGTTGTGGTTAAAATGTTCATCTGACTAAACCCACGTTCACACTCAGCTGTGGAGATGACCAGAGTGTTCACTGCTTGAAGGATGGGTTTCAGCTCTTCTGGTGCTGGTGGTATCATTTCATCAACAGTTTTGAGTCTTACCAGCTAGCTAACACGAGAGAAAAACGTAGCTAAACTCCAAACTAAGTTGTTATTGCTGCTTATGTCCATAGATTCCACCTTTGGTGACTAAAGTAATGAGTAATGACTAAGATTACTGACTCTTGACTTACCTGAAATGTTATTTTTAGTATTTTTAAATATGAAATCCCTCAGATCGCGTTGTCCTCCTGGTTGCTTGGCCTTTGTGATGACCGTTACCTGCGCTTCTGGCATCGATCAAACAGGCGCATCACGGTGCTCTGGCGCTCTCTAGGGCACTCGCATAGTATAGTGTCAGTGACTTGGTAAAAATGTCATTGCATGTGTGCGTGCTCCCTCGCCCACAGTATTTTACTCAATATGCGCAACATTTATGTTGAAATAGCAGTAATACCAGTGCCCCGTTCATTGATAAAATTACATAAGGGATGGAAAAGGGGAATGGCAGTTTTAGAAGGGGGATGATTTTGACTGTTTTTATTTCAGGGTGGATGCAATCCCCCCCCATCCCCCCTCAACTCGAGTACTGTCTATGGGTACAATGCTACATTTCCCGCCCCGCCGCAGTCATACAGTAGGCTACGGAGAGCGGCGAGAAACATTTCCTCAGGCATCGAAAAGCGGAACCGAAATTCACATGTCTAAATGATGCCGTTGGAATCTAAATGTTGGAACCGGTTCCGAACCGGAACCGGTTCTCGGTACCCAACCCTAGCCAGAAGGGAATGAAAGTCTGTAAAGACGTCATCATGGTTCCACAGAATACCCAGGCCCGCCTTAACCTGCCATCAGGCCCTGGGGCTGATAGGTTTTGTAGGCCCCCTATTTAAACAACAAATCAAAGTCATTTATAGCCTCGGCAGGCTCTGTGATCGCACTTCTCCACTCTGCTCTACGCGCACCTGGTCCCCTCCTCCAGATGAGTGACGTATCGGGCCTCCCCCATGTATTTGTCCGGTTGCCGTTGGCTCCCCTCCACGTAGCAAGTCCTCGTCGTCCTCTCCATCTCGTCCAACAGATAATGTCCCTCCTGTCTGTTTTCCCTCTCCCGCTACTCCATCGCTATCAGAACCAGACGGCCTACTTGGCTCCGAGGCCCCGCGGCCGGCACCGCTACTGATCGGTACAGAACTCATCTGTCCTTCCACCTCATCCTGGCCTACAGGTTTAAAATAACCTGTAAGCTTCTGCATTTTTTGTAATAGCTGCTTGTCTCGAAACTCCTTTTCCCTCAACAATTTCCTTTCCCGAGCGCCACTGTCAAACTTTTTCTTCTCAAACTTTTTCTTCTCAAACTTTTTCTCCTAAACAACCTTCATCTGTCACTCAATCACTCGCAATTTGAACAAGTCACATGTAAAACATATTCTCATTCTGATTGGCTGTTAAGTGGTACTGACTGTTTCGGGAGTCATCATTTTTGAGAAAAATCTCTGGAATCCATCGATCTGATTGATTAGCGGAGCAAATGATCAAAATACTACGGAGGGAAGATATTTTCGTTTGGATTACTGGTCTGGGGGAAGCTCGCGAGTGTGTGAGTGTGTGTGTGTGTGTGTGTGTGTGTGTGTGTGTGTGTGTGTGTGTGTGTGTGTGTGTGTGTGTGTGTGTGTGTGTGTGTGTGTGTGTGTGTGTGTGTGTGTGTGTGTGTGTGTGTGTGTGTGTGTGTGTGTGTGTGTGTGTGTGTGTGTGTGTGTGTGTGTGTGTGTTGTGTGTGTGTGTGTGTGTGTGTGGTGTGTGTGTGTGTGTGTGTGTGTGTGTGTGTGTGTGTGTGTGTGTGTGTGTGGGTGTGTGTGTGTGTGTGTGTGTGTGTGTGGTGTGTGTGTGTGTGTGTGTGTGTGTGTGTGTGTGTGTGTGTGTGTGTGTGTTGTGTGTGTGTGTGTGTGTGTGTGTGTGTGTGTGTGTGTGTGTGTGTGTGTGTGTGTGTGTATTTTTGCGTGTGTGTATTGTGTTTGTTTCCCGGGGGAAACACTCACGAGAAACACCGGCTGTTGTTATGCCTGCTGTGACGTCAAGTTACTCCGTTCTCCGCTTGTAATTATGCCGAAGCTTCAAAGTTGTATTTATCATCTGAATTTCCCGAAACAAGTTTAATATTCTGAAAGCCAAGACTTTGTTTAATTGAAATCAGATGAAAACAAACTGTAACGGACCCTGCCGTGTTATCTATGATTACTATACGCCTTACATTCATAATGTCAGCCGGAGGGAGGGGGAGTGAGAGCTGTCATCTTCCCTTTACAAGCTTCAAAAATGTATTTATCGTGTGATTTTGGAAATAAAAGTTTCATATTCTGAAAGCCAAGACTTTGTTTATTTAAATGTTTTTTAAAAACATCCGAAATAAAAAAATTTTTTTTTTGTAATTACATTTTTTTAAAAAACGTTTTTATTGGCTCATGATAGGCCCCTGATCTCCGTAGGCCCCTGGGCTTCAGCCCAGGTCAGCCCGTGCATTAAGGCGGCCCTGAGAATACCAAGTGGCTTTTCAACCTACAAAACATCCAGCTGGGGAGGACAGGCAGAAATACAAGAGTAGAAGGTGAAAAGAATCAGACAGGCGGGAAAACACAGGGCAATAAATGATTTACTAGGATCCACAATATCAATACTAATGCCTCCCAAATGTTGGCAAAATAAGGAATGGTCTATAAAACTATAAGTTTCAGTGCAGCGACACAGATCCTGAGAACACCACATACGTATACGAGGAAAGCTCCTCGGCCGTGTTCACCTGTGGACAGCTACTGTGGGTAGCCATCGTTCTTCATCTTCGGCCTCATCATGTAATGAGGGGAGTTTTTAATGCTGCTGTTATTATAATTGCAAATATTTCTATTGTAAATGAGTCCTGCAACAACTGCAGATAAACAGCAGGGTGAGACAGAGACTTTCTATGCTTGTATTATGTATGCAATGTTGCACCATGATGTTATAGATTTGATTGGATATATATATATATATTGTAATTTATTATGAATTTTAAACTTTCTTTCTATCAATGCAACATTTTCTTACGAACTAAACATATTTTATATTTAGACATGATATAAATGTAAGTGTATTGATACAGAACTATGCTATACAGAAAATACATGCATGTACAGTATATTTCTAGTCCCTATTTCGAAAAAAGTGAAGATTTATAACAATAAAGGGGGGCAGAGAACACTATTATTATCTTTTTATTAATATGGTTTTATTATTATCCTAAAGTAAGTTAATGTAGATGACTCAAAAGTATAATTGCCTGTATTAAAAAAAACGTCACAAAAGAAACAAACAGGTGCTTGTTACTCTGTTTGACAGAATGAGCACCCCTCCCTTCATTCATTGCATGGTATGGGCGCCTGAGCAATGGAGCAAGCGGAGCAGGTGCATCCCCACAATTGACCTTGGGGGAGCAAACGTGTGCTTTTGCACCCCCACTTTTTGATCATATGAAAAATATGATATGCCCCCCCAATATATCACTGTAAACATAAGTATGTAATTTCAATCGAATTAATAATACGCAATGAAAGAACTTGTGCTGATTATAGACACTTAATAGCGAGTTTTTAAGTTTCCAAAGATTGTGACCCCCCCCCCCCCCCGCATTTCGCTCACAATGGTTTGATCAACTGCCTCCCACCCACGCAGTCCTGATGCAGGTAGGCTGAGTGTAAATCACCGCGACCTGTCGTGGCAGACCTTTACAGTAAGTTGTTCAAACAAAGAATATGTTAGACATATCTTTACTTCTACCACTCAATACAATAAAACACATTTATAATCATCACCTTCTCTTCATTTTCGCTGCATTGAATTACAGGTCACTCTTTATGTTAGCTAGCGGTTAGCTGACGTTTGCTAGCTAGCTAGTAACATCAACCAGTGTGTGTGTTTGACTAGCTAGCTATCTGGTAGATCGAAGCCCATTAGAGTTTGAGTTTATTAGGATCCCCATTAGCTGTTGCATGACAACAACTAGTCTTCCTGGGGTCCACATAAAACATTACATTCGACAAGACTTTTACAGAACAGAAAATAAAAAACTGATTTCCGAAGTCCATTTTCCTTCAAGCATTGACTTTCATATTTTCCATCATATACCACTTATTTTCTGATTCCATTTCATTGGAAACAAAATAATGATAATAAAATAAGAATAAAGTAGGCTACTTATATCTATCTGCATTTACAGATGCCAGCCTTCAATTCTCTTAAGGTACAACTACCTGAAATGAAAATAAAAGAAGAATGAATTATAGAATGATAGAAGATAATATGATAGAAGCCCATCTCCTACTGTAACTAACCTGCACACTGTGTGTGTGTGTGTGTGTGTGTGTGTGTGTGTGTGTGTGTGTGTGTGTGTGTGTGTGTGTGTGTGTGTGTGTGTGTGTGTGTGTGTGTGTGTGTGTGTGTGTGTTGTGTGTGTGTGTGTTGTGTGTGTGTGTGTGTGTGTGTGTGGTGTGTGTGTGTGTGTGTGTGTGTGTGTGTGTGTGTGTGTGTGTGTGTGTGTGTGTGTGTGTGTGTGTGTGTGTGTGTGTGTGTGTGTGTGTGTGTGTGTGTGTGTGTGCGTGTGTGTGTGTTGCCAGCCAGGTAGAACATGGCAGAAAAAAGAAAAAATCATGTATTCAACCCAGTTCAGTGTATTCATACGTGTATTGCTCTCCTGTGTAGAATGATGTGGTGGTGACAGTGCAGACTCAGGGAGGAGGCAGAGAAGGAGAGAAAGAGACACAAGAGTTACAGGTAATGGAAATATCAGTCAGCTTAAAGTGTAGGATAACATAACAAATTAAGACACAAATACTTGGATAATATATTCCCCCCTCTCTCCCTTTCTTTACAGAGTAGCATAAAGATTGTGTATTCAAACCAGTTCAGTGTACTCATAAGTGTAATGCTCTCCTTAATGTAGAATGATGTGGTGACTGCAGACTCAGGGAGGAGGCAGAGAAGGAGAGAAAGAGACACAAGAGTTTCAGGTAATGGAAATATCAGACAGCTTAAAGTGTAGGATACCATCCCTAGTCAAAAAATGCTATAGGAATCTCTATACGTTTTTGGAACCCTATAGGAATCCTTTAGGATCCCATAGGATTTTCAGACAGTTCTGTGCTCTATATTGCAGGAAATTGCACGTACAGGTGTTCATTAAATTTAAAAAAATGCTGCCATGGAGGTGGTCGTGCCTGACCCACTCCAAACCACCCCTTGCCTGCCAGTTACTAATCTTGCACCCCCACTTTCAACTATAATATCATATTATTATATTATAATATTCACATTTAGTTACTCTAGTTCTTCCAGTAATTGCAATACCATTGACCACTGGTACATTAAATTGAGGTTGTTACAGTAGCTATAGCTAGATTTGAGCAATTGGAAAATATCTATACAAATGATTATTATTATTATAACAATTTAGAGATAGCTCGAGCTGTACTGTGTTATTACTATTATAGGGCATTTTATAAATGATGTACACTATGGATACTCTAGAGCCAGGGCCCTCGAGCAAGGCAGCCAACGAGGAGAGCAGAGGTGAAGAGGCAGAAGTACCAGTACAAGAAGAGGTCGAGGACCATGAAAGCAGCACAGATGAGGAGGAAGCAGCTATGGACAGTCAATGTCAGGGACAAAGTGAGGCTCCGACACAGGATGCCACAGATACTGAGCCACCTGTAGTGGTGTCTGAGGTAGAAGATCTGCTATCACTTGACCCAGGGTTGTTCCCAGCTAGGATGAGTGACAAGGACAGGGCAACTATTGTAAAGAAATTAGCAATGCGAGAAACAGATCAAGAATTTCCACATGATTCAAAGGGAAAGAGATTTCCAGATTACTTGAAATACACCAAAGCAGATAAGGGTAGGGGAAAAGTGAAAAGGGACTGGTTGATTCACAGTGAAAGTGCAAATGCACTGTTCTGCATACCATGTGTTCTTTTCTCCAAGGAGCAAAAAATACCCTCTCTTAGTGCTTTGAGTAGTGACCAGGGATACAAGATGTGTGACGTCGAGTGGCGTCGCATATATGATAAATTCCCAAGCCATGAAACAAGTAGGAATCACAGGGACTGTTATTTGCGATGGAAACACCTACAGTGTTCGGTTATGACTGCATGTGGCGTTGATCATCAGTTGCAGAGAGAGCTACAGTCTGAAATTGAGAAAAACTAAGCTATCTTGCAGAGACTCCTTGATGTCACTCTGCACTTGGCAATGAGGAATTTAGCTTTCCGAGGTAAAACGCATGCTTTGGGCGATGTCCACAATGGACATTTTGTAGGTACGCTATAACTTTTGTCACGATATGATCCAGTCTTGAAAGACCACTTAGACAAAATCAGGACATCCAAAAAAGGAAGCCGGCTAACTCATTATCTGAGCCCAGACATCCAGAACGAGTTTATTGAATTGTGTGGGGGAAAGGTTTTAAAAACCATTCTGACGGAAAGGGAGGATGCCATATACTATGGAATCATTTGTGATGCAACGCCTGACATTTCCCACACCGAGCAAAATGTTGTGCTCATAAGATATGTACATTATAATGAAGACACAGGCGAATGGGAGATCACTGAAAGATGTATTGAATTCAAAGATTTCAACGGAAAAACAGGATGTGAAATAGCAGGCATGATGGAGAGTGTGCTTCTGGATCTAGGGATAGACATTAGTGATTGCAGGGGGCAAGGGTATGATAATGGGGTGAATATGTCAGGGAAAATCAAGGGAGTCCAAGCCCAAATACTGAAAAAGAATAATCTTGCTACTTTCTCACCTTGTGCCTCCCACACGTTGAATCTGGTAGGCGTGCATGCTGCAGAATCGAGCCCTGAAGTGTCCAACTTTTTTGGTTACATTAACCGCCTCTACACATTTGTAAGTGCCAGTCCATCTCGTTGGTCTATATACAAAATGAAAACAGGTTGCTCTGTACATAGGCTATCTGACACTCGCTGGAGTGCGAGAATTGATGCTGTGAAACCTGTAGCAAAGCACCTACCTGGTGTCATTGAAGCCCTTGCTACCATACTGAGCTCATGCAGTCTCACAGGTGAGGCCAGATCTGAAGCTGTTGGTCTGAGGAACTACCTCATGTCATTTGATGCCATTGTCCTTCTCACCATTTGGGTGAAAGTATTGCAATCTATTGATGACAGAAATGTGA